ACACACACACACATACACACATACATACACGCGCATACACACCTGAAGGAAAGTAAAGCAGATTTTCTCCCCAAAAGAGAAATATGATAAACACAAACAGACAGGCGCACGCACACACACACACACACACACACAGACACAGAGAGAAACAGGCCCGTGCATTTTACGGTCACTTTGCCAAGGTTCATTGCAGTGGCCCCGTGCGTTTACAACAAAATAATATAAAACGGTGAACGAATAAGTCTTTCAGCGGCCGCCAGCAAGTGTAAGGACGGCAAACCCCCCCAAAAAAGCCGCAAAACCGTGATAATGACTATTTATACACCGACAGGAACGACATACAATTTTTGTAGTAGGAGAGGAAATAAAAACGAGAGTAATACTGGGGAGACAAACAGACAGACACACTGGCAGACAGAGACTGACAGAAAGGCACAGACAGACAGACAGACAGACAGACAGACAGACAGACAGACAGACAGACAGACAGACAGAAAAACAGACAGACAGACAGACAGACAGACAGACAGACAGACAGACAGACAGAGTGAGCGCAATTACCTTGAGGAACCTTTGATAGCGCGAGCGCGGTCTGTGTTCGGGGAGCGCCTGTGTGTAGGCAAACCCGCTCGCCATTAGAGCATTGGGTGGCCTACCGTCCCGGCGCCCGCACCCGCGCAGCAAGCGGCGAGCGCCTGCGTGTAGGCAAACCCGCCCGCCATCAGTGCGTAGGATAGCCTACCCACCCGGCGCCTGGCCGCACACAGCTCAGCAATAGGCGGTGGAAGTCGGTTCGCTCGTGGAGAGCACTGGTATTCCCAGGACTTTTCTTCATCTTCCGGGGAAGCTGGAAGGGTCTCAGGGCCTCCCTCCGCAGCAGAGGTCTGCAGCGGTCGGTCCGCAGTCCCGGTAAGAACCAAGACGCGACGATACCCCTTCTCCCTCTAGCGACACACGCACGGACAGTTAGCGCGTTATGGGTGAGCTTGACTGCCGGGTCCCGAGAGTGCCGACTACGTTTCGCTAATCCAGCCCGCTGATTGGCTGATCATAGCTCCCCACCTCTCTTTGTGACAGAGGCGCTTGCCGGGTCCCGGCAAGACTCCGGGTCCGGCCAGGCTCGTGGCGGTCGGTCCGGTACGGAACGACGCAGAGCGCGCTTGCCGGGACGATTTTTTGGCTTTGGACCGACCGTTGCAGACCTCTGCTCCGCAGTGTCTTTTCCAGTAGCTTCCCTAGGAAAACAGTTGCTTGTTTCCAGGGCATCGAACCCTCGGGACTCTTACCCGTTTTCTGTATTGCTATCAATTTAAGCAGCGATTTTGGGACGTGTAATATATATTACACGTATCAACGTGTAATATATTACACGTATCAAATACTTACGTATGTATACGTGTGCGTACTGGGTAAGCGTTAAGTCCATGAATCAAAACTTCCACGTTCTTCCTAGAGATATAGTAGATTGTAGACATACAACATTGTTTCCAAATCGTTAATTTCAAGGAATATTTTAAACAGTCCAAAGATATATTTACAACGAATGGCCGGTCTAACGTCAGATTTAACACGTTCCCTGCGGCGTGGCCACTATGTGGTCATGCTCCCATGTTAAATCATTAGCACCAAAAATGAGCCGTAGGGAACGTGTTAAAGGTCGGCACGCTCATATAAGCATTTGCTTTCGCATGGCGGAGTTTTCAATGTAAAGTATGTAAAGTATATATGGCATATGTCAGGAACAGCATCAGACAGCCGATGAGGAAGAAGAGCTGATGACAGCGGCAATTGCAACAGAAGCAGCTTTTGTGCCTGGAGCTTTGCTGGTAAGAGATACGGAAGGGAGCGCGGCAAGCGTAGAGTGATACGGAGAAACGGAACCGGGACAGATTTCGCGAGAAGTCATTTGGTGAGTGACGGCTGACAATGGAAAACGTGCTACCCACAGAGACTGCATTACCTGGTGGAAAGGTAGACGGGGTGAGATAAACAAACTGTGTTTTTTGGTGCAAGTGTACGGTCAGCACGAACAGTTGGACGCGGCCCAACTTTGCACCTTCCAGAAACTCAGCAGGAACTCCGCCTCCCCCAGCCTTTTTCCCACTTCAACCCTCTCCGTCGAAGCGTACACCACTAAGTAGCTCCGAGATGTTGCGCACCAACTTTTTACTCTTTGATCAGCCGATCGGAACGGAAACGTTCATTCAACAGACGCTACGCGCGTTTCTGCCGATGACGACGCTTTTCTCCCGACCCCCTTTCTCCTTCGCACCCAGCGCCCGGCCACATAGGAGGACAAGGAGGTTGGTAGAAGGGACGGAGACAGGGGTAGGGGGTAGCTACTCCAGGCGGCCAGATATCGGATTTATCGAACAGATAATGTATCCTCTTAAAATTCATTTTCTCTCCCCTCAAACAATTTAGTTAGGGCTCCGAGCCCCGAGGCGAATTAGAGTACAAGGAGGGAGGGCGGCGGGAGCGCGGCGATGCTCCCCTCGGAGAGAGCGGGGAGCATTGCTCCAGACCACCCCCGCCACGCAGCGCCACGCCTTACTCCTTACTCCACTGCGCCAAGCCACGCTTGGCCACTCCCGCCGTTCGCGGGGTTGCCGAAATGTACGATGTATTGGAGCAATATTCGATGGCTCGAGACTCGTTCGAAAATTTAAATCGGTGCGATTGAGGTGATCGGCCCGGTGAAGTAGCTTGCCATACTCTGGCGGGCAAGGGAGCGGTGAAGTTGGGTTAGCCCAATTTGAAAATGAGCGCGCTGCGTAAGAGTGCGGGCGCGCGCTGCTGTTCCGCTCCAGTGGGAGGAGCTCTCACATTCCGGGTATCGCTCTCTCTCCCCCCCCCCTCTCTCTCTCTCCCTCTCTCTCTCCCTCTCTCTCTCCCTCTCTCTCTCTGCCTCTCTGCTCTACTCTCTTCTCTCTCCCTCTTTTCTCTCTCTCTCCTCCTCCTCCTCTCTCTCTCCTATCTGTGCCCCACGTAGGCAGTGAAGAGATAACCAATAATCGTTGTGGCCCATAAAAGCAGCGACTGGTGTGTGTACAAGTAAGTGTGCGAGAAAGAGGAGGTGATTGGGGTTGGTGGGGGGAGGGGGGAGATACACGAGTCCCTCTGCGCTCACCCGATATGCTACAACTAACTGTACTGTGTATGTAGGCCTCTCGTGATTTGCCGTGGTTCGGTGTTTTGCGCGAACACTAATGAATCAAGTGTTCAATAACCCAATCCCAATGTTCAACGGGTTGTAGTTTTGTGCTCACAAAGTACCGGCTAAAACATTACTTCCGCTGTCTCTCATCCGACAATGTCCAATAAATTGTTGTGTTTGTAATGAACAGTTTTAAACTGTTGTTTGATTGTAGATTGTTTTTTTTTTTTTTTTTTTTTTTTTTGCAGCGTAGCAAACTCCCCTCCCCCAGCGCTCTTACTCTTTGCGCCCTCCATGCCCTTGCTCAGCGCGTAGTGCTTGAGGCAGCGCGGTGACGCCCGTTGCGGAGGGGCGGCGAGCACGGCGGCCTCCTAGGCGATAAGGGCCTCGCTCTTGTCCTTGGCGAGGCGGAGAGGCTGGTAGGAAAACATTTCCTGCTTGGTCACCCTAGATCTACCTGAGATGTCTAATAGTGCCATTTTTGAGATTACAATAGGTGCAATTTTGAGGCTTGTGTAGTGACAAAGTAAAAATGTACCTAGCAAGCAAGAGATACTACAGATTTTTCACTACTGCAAAATGTGCACACTGACAGACGCATCTTGCAATGGCTAAAATTTGTCCATGGCAGGGTGTATGATTCTTTGTAATTCACAAGACTGCACAAACACAGTTCGTTGGAACGCTGTCCGGCGCACCCTGGTGTACAGTCCTCAGAACAAAACCGTTCACTTTGAATAAGGATTAACATTACCATGAAGAGAACTAAATTTTAATCGTCTCATTTTGAACAAATTGTGTGCAGTTGACCGAATCAGAACAAAAGTGGAAAAAAGTACTATTTGAACGCGACCATCATTTTATGTTCATGGCTATAAATAAATATTGTGCAGCCACGTTGATGTAAAAGGTAGTGTCCTCGTGGATTAAACGGTTCCTCGGGTGCGTCCGCTGCACCGAGGCGAGTCACGCCTTGCATCCTCGTCCGTCCGGCGGCAGTCCCCGGGCACGCGCCCCATCCCTACCATTGCCCCGCCCCGCCCCGCGCCGCGCCGCTCTACTCC